CGGAGGCGCAAGCGTTGGCGGTGGGGGCTATTGGGTCGTCGCCGCTCCTCCTGAGCTTTAGCAAGCTGAATACTTCCATAGCGAGGGGAGAAGTGAGAGACAACAAGACAAACTCTCGATCTCACGTACGTTTCTGGACTTGTTATGGTGAGGCCTTCAATGTAAATAAACTCTGATGACTATTCTTTATGATTATTGGGAGTTAGGTGAAGTGGCCGCGGAAAGTTCAGGCGAACAATTGACTTGCAGACTCTTTTATAGAGCTCGGAATTGTTGCGAATTCGAATTTATACCAACTCAAGCTTGTCTGATACTCCGAACATATGCAGAAAGTATAAGAATCTTATACGTCTGTGGTATTATTATTATTATTATTATTATTATTCTTTTCGATCAGATTGGAAGATTGGAGCACGAGATTTACTGTGTTGGAAACTATATTGAGTTCATCGAGTGAGTTTTTTTTATTATTATTATTATTTTAAATAAAAAGCTGTTATAGAAAATAATAAATAGATATTTATGTTATATTTTGTAATAAGATGAGTTCATAATTTTGCTTGAAACAAGATGAGTTTAATGATGTGAATAGAATAATAAATATACATTAAATAGTATACTAAAAAATTGAATAGTTTTTCATTCAAAAAGAGCATGAAGTTGTTATTAGAAAATATATTTAAAATGGAGTATTTATTAAAAGGGTTGTTTGATTTGAAGTAAGATGATTATAAAGTATTTTAGATACAGGAATTTTGAGAATATGACTATTTGATTTGAAGTAAAATAAATGTTATGTAAATTTTTGATGTATTTTGAATGAATTCTTTGGTGTTTGGCGCATTTGAAGTTTGATGGAATTAGAAGATTTTCAAATATATCATAAATTTATCATGATGTCGGCACCTATCATCGTTATCCGCTATTGATCATCACACCAAACAAAAAATTAGGAGTGTCAATTCGGGTCAACGGGTCGGGTTCAGGTCAAACCCGAACTGACCCGACACTATTTGACTCAACCAGAACCCGACCAGTTTTTAAAAACGGGTCAGGTTTTAGGACCCGAACCCGACCCGATTCGGTTCGGGTCAACCCGACACAACACGGATTTTCCGATTCAACATGAAGGAACGTCGTCGAGCTCCCGTCGCTACTTCCAGTTCCGGTGAGGTGGCGAGCTGGCCGGGTGTCCTGGCTTTTGAATTTACATGAAAGAACATCGTCGGAGGAAGATAAGGATCTCCTGTCACCAAAGGAGGAAGAATTGCCGTGAGCGGCGACAACATCAGTGTATAGGGCGACGAGCGGCCACGCCACGGCCGGGTGGCAGCAGTGATGGCCTCCAAGGAGGCAAACTGGCGTGAGTCGCTTGACTGATTGACTGACCGTGACGCCTGACGAAGTGATAGATTGACGCTCTGAGCAACTCGACGTGTCGCAGGCTCGCAGCTTCAGGTCATTTCTGAGGCAGGACGAGCACGCCGGGCAGCTCATACAGGCAATGCAGTTTTCGAGTCAATTTCGGGTTTTCGGGTCAACCCGAAACTCAAATCGGGTCAGATTTTGAACCCGATCCCAATCCGTTGGATATATATATGAAGAAAATCTCTTCTTGATTTTCTCACGGTTCTTGAGGAGGAAGAGAAAGAACCGGAGGATAATAAAATCAGTAAAGAAAGTATATTGATCGTTGCTAAGTGAGTGCAAGGTCTGTCTATAAATAGACTGCAGTCTGTCCACCTAGAGGGCTAAGTACAACATATTTACCATAGTGCCATGTAACTGAAATAATGAAATAGATGTATAATATACATTTGTATTTTGTCCTCTAACATCCCCCGTCAAACTAATGGGTCTTGTGAGACGCTTAGTTTGAGTCTAAGATAATGAAATCGAGGAGTTGAGAGAGGTTTTGTTAGTATATCGACTGTTTGATCAACCGTACTGATAGGTAGTAACCGGATGTTGTGGTTTGTGATTTGATCCCTTAGAAATCTTTGATTGATCTCAATATGTTTAGTTCTGGCGTGAAACACCGGGTTGTTGGCGAGAGCGATGGCCGATGTATTGTCGCAGAACAGGTCTGTCGGATGGTCAGAGTCCACACCGAAATCTGCTAGAATTCTTTTGAGCCAGATAATGTCAGCTGTAAGTGCCGCAAGGGACCTGTATTCGGATTCCGTCGAGGATCGTGCGACGGTGTGTTGTTTCTTGACGGTCCAAGAGATTATGTTATTGCCCAGAAATGAACAATAACCCGATGTGGATTTTCTTGAGATGAGATCGCCAGCCCAGTCCGCGTCTGAAAATGAATGAAGAACAAGGTTACTTTTTGTAATGGGTAAACCATAGTTAATCGTACCTTTGAGATAACAGAGTAGTCGTTTGAGGAGATATATGTGTTGAGGAAGCAGACTATGCATGTGTTGGGAAAGAAGATTAACGTTGAAAGCTATGTCGGGACGAGTTAACGTTAAATATTGCAAAGCTCCTGTAAGTTGTCGATAGGTTCCTGGATCGGAAATTTCGGAGTTGTTGGAGAATGCAGCAGGCATCTTGGTGTCCGTTGGATTTGACAAAGGCTTGCATCCAAGCATGTTTGCCTGTTGAAGAATTGAGAGTGTATATTGGGATTGAGATAGAAAGTACCGTGATGGCTGTTTCTTTATTTGTATGCTCAGAAACGCATTAGCTTCACCCAAATGTTTCATCGTAAATTTGGTACTTAGCTGGTCCAGAAGTTTGGTGATTGCGGGCTGATTGTTGCCGGTGACGAGTATGTCGTCAACGTAGACAAGAAGGTTTATATTGACGCCGTTTTGTCAGAGTATGAGTAGTGATTGATCGGATTTGCTGTGCTCAAAGCCTAGTGATAACAGATATGTTGTGAAAGTTGTATACCATTGCCGCGGAGCTTGACGAAGGCCGTATAGAGCCTTATGCAGACGGCTAGGATTGGTAGAATCCTCAAATCCTTTTGGTTGGGTCATATAATCTGTTTCTTGAAGGTGGCCATGCAAGAATGCGTTCGCAACGTCTAATTGTTGTACTGGCCAAGCGTGGTATAGTGCAATGCTTAGTAAGATGCGAATGGTTGGTAATTTTGCGACCGGACTGAAGGTCTCATTGTAGTCGATACCATGTTCTTGATGATTTCAGAGAGCGACTATGCGCGCTTTATGTCGGGCAATGGATCCGTCGGAGTGATATTTAGTTCAGAACGTCCATTTACATCCCAAGATAGAGGCGTTAGGTGGTGGTTCTTCTAGCGTCCAGGTTCCTTGATTTTGTAGCGCAAATAATTCGGATGCCATTGCTTTTCGCCATTCAATGTTTTTGACTGCTTCAGTGTACGTAGTTGGGTCCTGTTTCTGTTGAGACAAGTTAGTGATATGAAGCAGATTTAATCTTACCCTTGGCTTGAGAGAGCTAGTTTTCTAAGTATTGGATGACCAGATTCGGTAATGATGTGTCGGTGTACCGAGTTGTTCATATGAGAGGTGGAGGCTTCCTCAGTTTCTGTAGGAAGAGTGTCGGCTGGCACTTGTTCGACGAAATGCCTTGGTATAGTATTAATCTGCTCGGATTTGTTGGAAGGGTTATTTGTGGGAAAGATAGTTGCTGTTGGTATTAGTATAGATGGATGAGTCTAAGCAGCGTCAGTAGTTTGTCATGCGGTTGGTTTGTCTATATCTGCGAACGGAAAAATGCTGTTCTTCAAACCTTACATGTCTTGACATGAAGATTTTGTTTGAGGAGATGTCAAGGCACTTATAGCCTTTATATGTCTCGGAATACCCGAGGAAAGTACATCGTCTCGCCTTTGGTTGAAGCTTGTTTCTGAGGCCTGAGGGAATTAACGGGTAGCATGCGCACCCAAAGGTTCGCAGATGGTTATATTCTGGTTTGAGGTTGTGTAGAAGTTCGAACGGGGACTTGTTATTGATTGTTGGTGAAGGCATTCTATTTATGAGGTAGACCGCAGTGATCATGGCATCCGGCCAGTATGTAGGGGGAACCGAAGCTGTGAACAGTAATGACCTTGTGGTTTCAAGAACATGACGATGCTTTCTTTCCGATAGACCATTTTGTTCGGGCGTGTATGGACACGAAATTTGATGGAGAATACCGTTGTCAGTTAGATACTGAGATAGATGCATTCGTGTATTCCGTCCCGCCGTCCATGCGAAGACATTTAAGATGATGCGAAGTGAGTTTTTCAACATAGGTTTTAAAATTAATGAAAATAGTTGTTACTTCATTTTTATGTTTCATTGGAAAACCCCACGTAAAACGCATAAAATCGTCAGTGAAAAGAACATAAAACCTATAGCCTTGTTGAGAAGTGACTGGGGCCGGACCCCAGACATCGGAGTGAACAAGCTCAAGTGGAATGCGCCGCCTGCTATTGGACTGTTCAAAGGGCAACTTATGTCCTTTTGCCAGTATACAAGAATCACAAGAGCTATCTTTAGAATCTATATTAAGAAAAGGATTACATTTATAAATGATATTAAGAGTCCTAAATGCGGATGGCCCAAACGGTTGTGCCAGGACACCATTGGCTGCTTCGTTGCTGTCAGCATGGAGGAGTTTGGCTGCTGTTTGAGCGAATATAGCCCGTTAAGGCAAGGGCCGTGAAGCAACACTTGCTGTGTCTGCAAATCCTTAAAAACAAACCCATTAGGCTTAAAGATAATACAAATATTATTATCTTTGGTTATCTTTGATATAGAGAGCAAATTATATTTGAGTTCAGGAATATGCAGAATATTTTCAAGATTTAGCTTACGGTGTGCAGTGTTCAACAAACCTGAACCGGAGTGAGCTATTGGTATGGAGCGGCCATCTTCAATTGTGACGGTGTCCGAGTCGTGGTCGGGAGTTGTGAGGGACAGATTATCCAGTGAGTGAGTAAGGTGCGACGAAGCCCCATAGTCAAGAAACCAATTTGTGGAGGGTTGATCTTGAGTTGCAGCAAGTGCAGTGTTTCTTGCATTTGGCACATAGCTCTCGTTGAGACGATGCCAACAGTGTGTTGCGGAATGGCCTCTTTTGTGACAGATTTGGCATGTGGTTGTTGAATCAACAAGGGTTCATGCATTGTTTGAATTTTGATGGTTGGATCGGCCTCCTCGTTGCCTCCGACCACGGCCTCTTTGAGTGTAGAGAGCAAGATTTGGATCTGCGGGTGGCAGATTTCTTGAGGCGTTAGCTGAGATATTAACTTCTTCACTGAGCAGCAGCGGGTAGAGATCATCCAGACTAATCGGGGTGAGCATTGTGCGGATTGCCGTCTTGAACGCTTGATAAGCTGGTGGTAGACCGTTCAAGATATAAAGAATTATATCTTCGGTATCGTATCCACGACGGAGCCAGCCGCAGCGATTTGATCAACTAACGACTTGATATCAGTAAGATATTGAGTCATGGTTGATGTTTTCTTGGATATGTTGTGAAGCTCGTTCTTGAGTTGTATTACTTTGGAGCGATTTGTGGATTGGAAGCGTGTTTCGAGTGCTGTCCAGATTTTGGCTGTTGATTCGAGATGAATGATGTAAGGGAGGATGGACTGAGAGATGGTTGAACACACGGCTGCAGCGAGAATCTGATCCGTCAAGAGCCATTGTGTGTATTTCGGATTTGGAACCAGAGAATGATCGGATTTCTGGATTTGTTTTTCGGGAGAAGAAGAAAGAGGGTCAAGAAATTTATCAAACCCGTTTGCACGAAAGAGTTTGAGGATCTGAGAACGCCATAACATGTAGTTCTCTTTTAAGAACTGTGTTGGCATGATGTTCTTCAGATTTCCGACCACGAACTTCAGAGATGAAGAAATGGTTCCTCCTTCTTCGGTGTTCTCCGCATCCGACTGTTCGTTTGCTTGTGACGTCGTGGAGTTGTTCATCTTTGTCGATCTTCCCTTTACACCTGCTCTGATACCATGAAGAAAATCTCTTCTTGATTTTCTCACGGTTCTTGAGGAGGAAGAGAAAGAACTGGAGGATAATAAAATCAGTAAAGAAAGTATATTGATCGTTGCTAAGTGAGTACAAGGGATGTCTATAAATAGTCTGCAGTCTGTCCACCTAGAGGGCTAAGTACAACATATTTACCATAGTGCCATGTAACTGAAATAATGAAATAGATGTATAATATACATTTGTATTTTGTCCTATATATATATATATATATAAACATTTAACAAATTATTTTTAATAATCACATCTAAAAACATTTAATAATTTTTTTTTTACTTCCCGCATCTACTTAAAATCGTGAATAATCTGCTCTCTGAACAAATATAAGATGAATCATAAATCGTTTGTACATGAACGAGCTCATTTTATAGCTTGAAAATACTAATTAATTATATATGTTCATGAACGGGCTCATTTGATAGCTTAAGAATGCTCATTAGATATGTTCGTGAACAAGTTTGCTTGATATTTTATTAAACTTCGCTAGATATGATCATGAGCAAACTCGATGTGATTGTTTGTTATAAGGCTCATTTGTTAAGTCAATGTACTGGAAGTAGAGCTAATTAATAACTCGATAAGTTTTGTTTGTATAAAGCTCGTTAAACACGAAATAAATCAAACAAGAACACCCATTAATTTAAACGAACTAAATTTTAATACAAACAAAAATGCTCGAATCAAACTCAAACTGAACTTGAATGTGCTGATAATAAATGAACGCACACATACTCAGCCCGGCTTGGTTTGTTTGCAGCCCTACATACTATGTAGGAACATAGCAAAATTTGTGACAATAAAATAAAGAGTCTAACACATGAAATTTTGGGATTAAAATATTAATTTTTTTTATAAGAAAGTCATCAATCTATTAAATAGCTCATAAATAATTATTAATAGTGATGGTTGTCTTAGAAAAATTACAATCAACTCAAGCATTTTTAATATGGGGATACCAAAAACAATTTATTTTTTACTCATTCTATTAAAACACAAAAGATGATACGCAAATCTAATCTTTTTATTCATTAAAGAAGGTGAGAATTTGCATTTATTATCCACAAAATAGGTCAAAAAGGATTAGATGCACTCAATAACGATGAAGAAACGAAGAGCAAGGTGATGACAACTCGAAGATAAGAGGGAAGAGTTGGATCATGATAATAAATGGAGGTGAAGTTCAACAATTATAAGAAATGGGCAAAGTCACAAAAAAGTTAAGAACAAGCTTTCTAATACAATTATATTTCTATTTGGTTGTTATTTTCATGTTGCTTTCAAAAATTTTACGCACCAATTAAGAAGTTATTTTTTATAACAATTTTTAAAAAAAAATCATTTTTCTTATCACAATAGCTTTATAATTGATACGTCATCATGAAATTATATTGATCGGGCACGAATCTCGAGGCAAAAAGCTAGCCAGAAACTTTAAAAATTAAATTCGGGAGCACCTGAACTCCGATTTCAGCGAGCTTATAGTCAAACTGAGCGTCTCGGAAATACGAGCCCAACGACACCAAGATCAACCCAATCCGAGCCCAAATGAGTCCAAATCAAGGGCTCAAAGCGCTGTTGGAAGGTTCAAACCACAATTTGAGTTACCAAACGATCTCCGATTTTAACGAGCTTATATTCGAATCGAACGGCTCGACGAGACGAATACAACGAGCCCAAGACTGCCGAATTCCGACATCATTAAGGCCCTCAAATGACCAACGAACGGTGCA